TTAATTGAGTGTGCTACTTGAGAACACCCATAGATTCCTTTAACTCTATGACAATGTGGCTTGAAAGGGCTATTTTAGAAGGTCACATTAATTGTTATGATTATAATGAATTCATCGATCCTGAGAAAATTGATGAAGGCAGATTTGGAAATGTATATAAAGCCAAATGGAAGGAGTGTGGAATTACTGTTGTCCTTAAAAACTTGAAAGCTTATAGTTTTAAGATCGTTCAAGAGGTATTTTAAAATGAATTTGAATATTTCTAATGATAATTAAATATTTAAATATTTATTATATATTAAATATACAGCTTATAGTTCTACGCAAAGTTTTTTTCCATCCTAACATTATAGAGTTTTACGTTGTAACCAAAAGTAAGTTATTAGAATCCATTTTTATATATTATTTAAATAAAATTTAACGTTAATTTAAATATATATAATATAGACGCGTCTGGAAATTACAGTATGGTCTTGCAATTTGCTAAGGATGGAAATTTAGAACAATATTTAGAATATAATTTTTTAAAGCTCCAGTGGACTGATAAATTACGTATTGCTAAAGAAATTGCATTGGGCCTTGTGTTCTTACATAAGCGCGATATTATTAACCATGATCTTGTAAGTCATATTACCAGCGTCACATGTTCATTAAATTGGGTTATTTTACCATTTAATCTGTTTATATTATGCATCATCATAAATGCTGTATAATTTAGATGACTTGTTAATTGTTTATTATCTCTTATACTTTACAGCATATCAAGAACATCTTAGTTCACGAAGAAAGAATGTTGATTGCCGATTTCGGTTTATCCATATATGATACTGATTCAAAATTTATCGATTATGGAATATACGGAATGCCGGCATTCATTGACCCTCAGGCTTTAAAAAAATCTCCCTACAAAATTTACAAAGAAATCTGACATCTATGGTTTAGGTGTCATTTACTGGGAGATTTCAAGTGGGCACAGACCATTTAAATCCATGACAGTTTATGAAATTATTTATAATATACAACTAGGAATTAGAGAAATACCTGTAAAAAACACTCCATTTAAATTTGTTAAACTCTATGAGAGTTGCTGGGACGAAACTCCAGAAAATCGCCCAGAGGCAAACACCGTTCTTGAATATTTGAATCTTTGCACTTCTGACGTAAAGTTTTATACCTAAACATTCTTTTTACAGAAACTTGCTAATTTTTTTTTTATCAATTTTAATATTAAAGTCATTAATATTATGCTAGTTAGAGCTAAAAGATTATTTTAAGATTATAAGTTTATTAAGATTATTTTAAGACTATTGTGGGATTATTTTAAGATTATAAGTTTATTAAGATTGTTTTAAGACTATTGTGGGATTATTTTAAGATCATTTTAGATTATTATAAGTTATTATAAGGTTATTAAAAGTTATATAATTTTTAATTTATATTTTACTGTTCTAAAATAAATGTAGAGGATATACTTCATAAGATTATTCGAGCACCCTAGTACTGTACTAATTTAGAAATAAAAACATACAATACGAAAGACTAATTTTTATCCGGAAAATTCATATGATCATGACGCAGCGCTACAACAATTTGGACCGGCAGATACTCGATTTTGATTGGCTAAGAGTGACGATCAAAAAATTAGGTCATAATTTTACTAATGAAATCATAGCCACCCATTAAGTAAATTGTTCCTGGGTCAATTTTACCATAATGTGGGCTTATTTTTTAAGAATTTCTATTTTTGTAATCAAAAAATTAAAAAGTTATTCCGGCCGGAATTTAGTAAACAATTTTGTAATGTGGGCCAAAACTTTGAAGATCCTCGGCCGTTAGCCAATCAAAATCGAGGATCTGCCGGTCCAAATTTGTTGGTTAATGCCCAGATATGCACCGAATGTAAATTCTATAATAATTGGTTTTTTTTTTTTTTTAGCAAAGTAATCACAATATATTTTGACAGAATTCCTTCGAAATTCTTTCGCATAATAATTAAAAGTTATAATAATGAGAGTTTACACACATTAATTTTTCGTTATTTTGGTATAGTAAGAATTTCTTATTTTCGCCCTTCTCGATCCAATTTCATGAATACAATACCTAACTTTAAATATTTCATCATATCAGATAATAAATGGATACAGTAATTGAAGCTCATTCTTCTCAGTATTTACTAGAATGGCAGTAACTTGCAATGATAGAATTGATTTACAAAAGCGTCCATTTACAAATTATCTATAAATTGTAATTACTCCGAACCGATTTGAAGTCTTTGCTTTATTTATTATAATTAGGTCAATTTACATCTTGAAAGCGGGAAAAAATTTGTTAAGAAAAGCATTATATTATTTAGACACTTTATGTAATATATTGCAAGAAATTCCGGTTTATCATGCATCTTCGTAACACAACTTTCGTTTTTAGCATTTTTAAATTTTAAATGCTGCTAAGCATCATGTGTGTTTTATGATTTCAGATAATAAATTGTACAACAAATTTTGGGTCGTACATCATATATTTATAGTTGGCCAAGTAAATATTAGTGACACGAGACATACACAATAGGAACCAATAAAAATTTAAAAAGGTGTCGTCTGCATCTGTATAAATATAAGATCAAACTTAACCAATTATGAGAAAATAGCAAATATGGCGGACGATGAGACATTTTATTATCAAAATGACGATAACTCAGATGCAGCAAGTGAAAATACAAGTGAGCTATTTCATTAAGATCTATATAAATTATTATTCGCATTTCGTATAGCTACAAGGAAAAGTTATTAATGAAATTTCAAAGGTTGCTAGTAAAAACAATGTATTGATTGTGCCATTGTTATATAGAATGCGAATTAATCTATACAAAAAAATAATTCCATGAATCTTTATTCTACAATAGTTGTTGAATCTTCGAGTCAATTAGAAACTATTTTTTCTGGCTTTAAAAGCTTAAAAAAATTCGATAGCTCGCAACTTAGCGAGCTCAAACGCATTGGACAAGGAGGTTTTGCGGTTGTGTATTCGGCAATATATGAAGGAAAAAAATATGCATTAAAAAGTCTAAATAATAACTTATCATTTGATGAGAGATCACTTAAACGAATCAAACGCGAGGCAATTATACATATAATTCATTATCTAAAACTATGATTTTTCAATGCTCAATGCTAACATACAACTCTATATAGCTTAACCTTCTTAAAGACGTTAATAATAAAAACATTGTCAAATTTTATGGATTTTCAAGAGGTTATAATTAAGTTCTAGTTTTGGGCTGCTCTTATTATTGCTTATTTAATCACTATTTAACTTGTAAAAAATTTAATAATTTTAGATCCACGATCGGATAATTTTATGATAGTTTTACAATTTGCTAACAATGGTAGTTTACGGAGTTATTTACAAAAAAAACAACAGGAGGGAATTTATAAAATTTTATGGACTGAGCTTACTCGGATTGCAATGGAAATACTTAATGGTTTAGAATATTTACATAAAAATGATATTGTCCATAGAGATCTAGTGAGTTTAGTCTTTTAACTATTTTAATTTTTAACACTAAATTTCAATTTTAAAACCTTTTAAATTTATTTAGCATTCTAAAAATATTCTTATAAACAATGGTAAAGCTTTGATCTCGGATTTCGGTGTAGCAAAGCATCTGAATGACAATAATTCAGCTTCGACTGTGAATGTGATGGGCATGATAGCGTATGCTGATCCACAATATCTCAATGAAGGAAGAAAGGAATATCTAGATAAAAGGTCTGATATTTATAGCCTTGGAGTATTATTCTGGGAACTTACAAGCGGAATTCCTCCATTTTCTGGTTTTCCTACAATGACCATAATTATGAAAGTTATAAAAAATCAAAGAGAAAAGCCCATTGCAAATACACCTCAAAATTACGTTGATCTTTATAGTAAATGTTGGCATTCTGATCCAGATAAGCGTCCATCCCTGGAAGAGATTTCATATGTGATCAAAAAATTATCGACAAATAGTAATGTTGAATTCATTACAAATAAATTTACAAATAATCAACCGACTACACAAATAGAGCTCAAAGAAACACATAATTATCGTAAGCATTTATTCAATAATTTGTTGATATATAATTGTTTACTACGTTTTTACTAAATTATACATTTATGTAGATGTAGATAATAATGCCACCAGCATTCTAGCCAAAGATACAACCTCTGTTACATCTACAGATGAATATGCGAATAAGTATATATAATCTTTATTTTTCTTTTTTATATTTAATTTAATTTTAAAATTGAGTTCTTATGATTTTAACGTTAAACCATTCACTTGACAACTAAATTCAGTGAGTGAGTATAAAGATTTAGGAATTTTCTTTATAACCAGCAATTCACATCAAATATATTATTTGTAACTGATCACTAAGTATTAATTAGTAGATCTCGAACTATTGTACAGTTTATTCCCCTATTTGAAACGGTTATCAAAATAGCAGAAGAAATGTTAGTTATCTATGAAAATGCAAAGTGTGCTCAAAAAATTTGTTCAGCATTATTAGAGCGGGTTGAATACTCAAAAACTGCCATGGAATCCTTGAAGAGGAATCAACATTGTTATGAAGAGTATTTTAAAAAACAAGATTATTATAATAACTGGGTTAAATTTATTAATATACTAGAGGATATTAAGAAGTTCGCTAAAGAAGTCACACAATTACCATGGTACAAAAAATACACAAATGGTATTGAAATTAAAAACAAATTTGAAAAACTTATCAAAGAATTTGAAGAAATTTGTGAAGCAATAAACTTTAAAAGAACTATGTATAATGCGGAAAAAAAAGAAATGGAAGCAAAAGATGTAACTGATGATCTTGAACTTTTAAAAAAGGTGAATGTTAATGTAAACTATTATTAAGATTTTTTATTAGTATTAATACTGGTGGTTTATAAACTTTATTTTATCAAGACTGTAGCTACATTAAAATCGGACATTGAACGAATTAATTCTCAACTTCCCAGTGGTAATACAAGCGAAAAGCCTTCCGTGCCTCGAATAGATCCAAATGAATTAAAAGAACTATCTTATAGTGATGTACGTAGTTCTAAAAAGGTTATAAAAAAAGTATTTCGTGGAATTGAGGTTGCATGTAAAAAAGTTTCATCTATTGGAGATGAGGAAATAACATATAAAAACGAGATAAATATTTTTTTAAAATTGGGCACTTGTCCGTTTATTATTTGTTTCTATGGGCTTTCAGAAGTGGATCATAGTAATGTTATGGTTTTTGATTGGGCTGAATACGGAAATTTGAGCGAGATGTATGCTAATTTTGAAATAAAATGGTCTATCAAATTGCAACTTGCTCGTGGTATATTAAATGGACTTGTATTTATGCATCAATGTAATATCCTACATCATGATATCCGGTGCGAAAATATCTTGGTATGTATATGAAATTAGTATTAATAATTTACAAATTCTTTATAAGATCTTTACAATCAATAATAAATAGGTCACTGATGGATTTGAGGCTAGAGTTTCAAACTTCAAACACAGTTGTAATATATCTGAGAGCTCATCTGAAATCAAGAACTTGCCTGACGTTATCCGATGGCTAGCTCCAGAAATGATGCTGCAAACAACAAATAATTATAACATTCATTGTGAAACTTTTAGGTAATATGATTATGTAATGAAGTTTCTTATTTTAAAAGCATTTGACGCGACTATTCAATTATTTATACATCAATTGTATTATTATAGTTTTGGAATGACGCTTTGGGAAATTTGCAATCAAAAAATTCCTTATAAAGATATTGATACTGACCAAATTAAGGATCATGTTCTTAATAAAAATCGCGAAACTCTTGAAAAAATTGCAAATAATCAGTCGCAGATTCCTAAGATTCCTAGAGAGCTTGCCGAAATAATTACGCTAAGTAAATATGTCTTCTTTATTATGTAAGGGGAGAGACAGAAATCGGATGATTTTAGAATTAGAGGGATTAAACTTCTATCAGGTCTATGTCAGGAGGAAAAATCCTTTAACAAATTAAAATCACCTGATTTCTGCCCGTCTCAGAATATTGTAATGAACAGATTTAAATAATTAACTTTTATTTTAAAAGCTTGGGATGATGATCCTCTAAAACGCCCTTCAGATACGGAATTGCAGTTAAGATTTAAAAAGCTTTATGATGATCACATAACTTCTAAAATGGTTTCTCCTCAAATACGCTCTGATGATAATGTCAAAGAATTTCCAATTTTCGAAACTCCTGATGTATCGGATGGCAGTGATGGTAAATGACCTGAAATGACCCAAATGACTCAAATGACAAATGACTAGTCATTGGGTCATTTCAAGAC